GGGGGGGGGGGAGCCATACCTCGGGTAGGTGATCTTGGTTAGACACAGAAAGGTGCTGAGTTACCACCTAAGAAAATACAGAGGCCTCCAAGCAGGAAATAGCTAATATTCAAATATTTGTATCAGACAGGAGGCTGCGAAAGAGAGATGGAGTGGTGTGATGTGCTGTAATTATCTGTGCAGAATTTATAGTTTTCAGCATAAGCATTTAAAACTGTTACTTCAGAAACACATTCAAAATCTGTATCTATTCTGCACTCAGGTACCTCCAATAATGATGAAACTTCCCTAAAATGTATACACAAGCAAAATTAAAGTGAAAAGAATGTATCATTACTGGTATAAACCTCTATGTTTCATTTATGAGTAGGGACTTGCAGTTGTGAGCAAAAGTGTTTTCTCATTAAATTTTAATTAAGATAAATGCTGCAGAACCACTCACCTCCTGTACTGTTTCATCATCACACCACTGGAGATAGAGCTAGAAACAGAAACAACACTCACTAAAACTTCCTAATAAAGGAGAATACAGAAACAATAATTTCTCACTAGCAGAATTTTCTTTTCTATACTAGATTAAATTTCCATTTCACCCCTTCTGTGTGACCTCTGAATGTAGAAAATAAATTAAAACTGGGAGGCAAAAGCCCAGCTGCTGGTCCTTACTTCACCAGCCCCAGGAGGCAGGTGAGCCCAAAGGCCCTTTCCAGTTGTCCACACTGCACCCAGCTCAGTGCACAGCTTCCTGGCCCTCAGCTCTGCCCCCCTGCAGCTTGCCAGCCTTTCCAGCACTCTTCTCATGCTGAGATGGCATCATGTGAACTGGCCACAGACAGGACCTGCAGGGGATCCCAGCCTCCCACACAGTGGGTGAGCACACACCCTGGAAGGTGGAGCGGGGTGCCTGGCCAGCTGTGGGGGGGCAGGATCCCAGGAACCAGTGGCATTTCCACTCAGTTACTTCTACAGCTACATGACACACTTCATTTGGGTCAGGGAAATCATATACGTGGCTTGTGCCTACAGGAACATTTCAGCAAGCAATCCATGGGGTACAGAGAATTTATTCCTGCCTCCTTTCACCTCAAAAGTTGACAACATAATCTAAGAACAAGCAGTATTTCCAACACAGGGAAAAATCCTAAAGCTTTCTTGCCTATAGTCACTTATTTAAGTGTGTGGAGTTACTGTGGTTTGCTGTACCTCTGCTGTCAAGAGCATATTATTGACTAATTCCATGTAGGCTTTCATCTCAGCTTTTTGGACTTCATCCAGCCCATCACTGAGAGAATGGCCCTAATGGGAAAAAAAAAAAGAAAGAAAGAAAAAGACACACAGGCTCAGATCCTGTTCTCTTACATAGTTCAGTAACAAATTACATATGCAATTTTTACATACAATGTCCTTTAGAATTAAAAAGAAATCATCATAACATTACTAATGTTCAAGAAATGTTGCCTATTATCAGTTACAGCTGAACACAGTTTGAGCACACAGCCTCCTGGTTAGTGTATCTCTGTGGCCATAAGTAAACAGAAATTTACATCTGTGATACAGCTTTATCAACTGCTCAGTGAAAAGACTATTTTTTTAAAATATGGGGGAGGGTTGTAGAGGGGAGCAAAGGCAAATCTGGATCGTATCTAACACTTCAGGATTTAAATCAGCCAGTTCAGGGTTTAAGAGCTCTCAGACCCAGAAGCAAGGCATTTAGAAAAACAGTTTCAGCAACTGGCACTAGAATGCAGGTATCCTGCATAGAGTTTACTTCCAGCATTTGAATAAATGACAAAGAAAAACATTTCCACCTCAACAAACTCCTGTTCCAGGATTTCTTTCTTTTAAAATGGCACTTTCTACACTGCTTTAACAAGTAACATTCCAGAAGAGCACACCAATCAGCACAGTGCTAAGCAGGATTAACATGCTATTCACTAACTGATGAAAAAAAACAACTGTTACCTTGGCTTTTACAAACTGGACTATGGGCCCAAGTTCAGATACTACTTGATTTCCCACATGAATAAAGGGTACTTTGCCTGTATGAGAAAATGAGAAATATATTTTAGTAAGAGTTTTTTATACCTATTAACACCATTTACAATTTTCAAAACAATTAAATATTACAGACACATCTGACCATCAGTATGTTGGGTTTTTTCCAAATGAGTACAGGTAAAGCTCACCCACTGAATGTTTGTAATAACACCTTCCTCTTGATCTTCCTCCTTCTGAACCTCTGCTACATGCTACAGTTGTGTATTTCAGTTATTGAGTGAGATCTATTGACTTGTATTTTAATAATGAACTTTGCTTTGCTGGAAAGACTTAATTCAGTGTTTCTCTGAAGTACAGCTGGGAAATCCCAGGAAAGCAGACAGAGCCCTCGGCTAGTTTTACAACACGAGTTCCCACCCTCCCTTCTAATCCACTGGCTGGGAAAGGGCTGCTGAAAGGATGATGGGAGATGTGGCACTGTGCCCAGAAAAGCAAGCAGGGGAAGGGCAGATGCACTCTGGGTAAGGCAGAGTCTTGACTCTCCTTCTTCCCATCCTTCAAATTTCCAACAGCTCTTGGGGCTGCCCCAGTCTTCACCCTCTACTTGTGAGCTGGCATTTTCAAGCACCCATGGTCCTGGGGTGAGGTTCTCAGTATGAGACCCAGAGCATCACATTTTGGAGGGCTGGAAGGGGGAAAGAGCTGCTTCATCATCATGGAAGCAAACCGGGGTTAAAGTTTAACATTATTAAGGCCCAACATTGAGTCTATGAAGCTGAGCCCTGAGTGTCCAGCATGGAGCATGGCCAAAAACAGCCAGTGCTCAAAAGGAGACTAGGAAATGACTGTGTCACTGGTGGAACTAGAAGTCTGCACACAACACCTTCTCTATAAGGCGAGTGTTCTTCCACACAGAAGTGAGGCAAAGCTTTAAGGCAGGCAGTGACACAAGCCCTGTTACACACAGAGAGCTCTGAGGAATGGCAGTTACTGTTTGCCTCTTTTTTCAGTGCTCAACATGTGAAGCTCAGGTCTCCTACTCCAATCAACCCTAACCAGCCTGACTGTCCTACAAAATCTTCATCCAAGTGCAACTGACAAACACCAACCTTGTATTTAAGACTAATCTTTTAGGATTATTTACACAATTGAAATAATCCATAACATGGAGATAAATGCTGGATGTTTTGTGCTACTAAAACATCCTCAGTGGGCACTGCATCCTTTTACTTTCCTGCCTCTCACTGTGGGCAAACTCTGCTCTCAATACAGAGCCCAAAGAGCAAGATCAGTACCTGCCTGACTCCAATATGTTACTAGCAATACATTTGCTCTTTTCACTGAAACACAAAAAACCTACTGTTTGGCTTAGCTCAAACACTGTTCATATTAACAGCAGATTCAGTCATGGTTTTTATCATGAGATTTTCTTCTCACTAGCTTGATTACCCTACAGGTAATAAATGAAGTGCATCAAACCAACAAAGGCTTCATCTGCATCCACATATTACATGTTGTGGAAGGAAACAACAGACCTCCCTGTGCTGCAGAATTGGGTGGTTTCAGTCACACTGTACTTCACACACCAAGACAATCCTTTGGTATCACTTTGGACTCCCTCAAAATGGGTTTCATTATTACAACAAATATGAGATAAATAACCATCCCCCCCCAAAAAAAAAAATGAGATGCAGATCTTTGCTGCTGCTGTGAGACAGGGTCATGGGGAGGGACAAGGGAACAAATGAAAACATTTGAATTATCATTAAAGAATCAATATAAAGGAAATGGGGTAAGTGAATAAAAATTACACGGACTCCAGGACTAAGGGCAAAAAGAATACATGTATTTCTACCTACATTTAGAACTGAAGCAGTATATTTTTCCCTCTTGTGCTTCTTGTTTTCAGCAGAAGGAAGTGTTCAGACCCAAATTACAACATCAGGTGCTAGCAAGTGTGGACGTGGGGTGCAAGTGGCAGAGAAGCAAGAGCATACAACTGTCACCAATCTTACCCGTGCACATGCAAGAGGCTCCTTGTACATGGATTCAGCATTTCACTTACCTCCATATTTTGCTGTTTTTTCACTGCTGCCAAGCAACTGTTTTATTAAAAAAGCATAATTCCACTGCTTTGACCAAAATATCAGTAGCAGCAGCAGAATCCATACAGTAGGCTGACAGACATACCCTGACAGGCACTCCCATGTGGTAGTGATCAGCCAGAGCCAGGTAATCAGGAAGTACCTCCTCACGCAACAAAAATCTGGGACAGAGTGCCAGGACTGTCAGACGCTCACACCCAGCATTCAGCAAACCTCTCCAATTTTTAGGCAACCTTTTGCAGCCAGTCAGTGTTTTTAGGCAACCAGTCATCCCCAGCACAAGGCAGGCTTTATAGCCTTCTACTACTTAATTTATTAGAATTTTTTTTTTTCCAGCCTCATGAATGAAAAGAAAATTTTAAATTGCCTTAAGAGTGACAACGCACCCTTCAGTCTTGTCCTGTATCAACATCCTGGCAATCAACTCCCAGACAGGGCAACAAAAGATAGTCTTTCTCTGTGGTGTTGTCTCAACCTAGCAGTGGGAAAATATAACAGCATTCACCAGAATATTCCCTGAATGCAGAATAAAGCCACTTTTGGAAACGTATGTCTTTTTGCTTCAGGCCATAACAACTCTCAGGCATGTGAGAAAGTTTCCAGCAGGCATTTGAACGGTCTGAATGCTTGATATAGGTACTACATTCACAGGCACCATTACACATTGTGCCAAGTTACTTTGCATTTGGCTGTTTTAATTGTTTGCAGAGGAGAAACTGCACTGGAGAGGAGGGTGAAGGCTTCCTGCACACGGCAGCACTGGCTGACTGTTATCAGCAAGACAAGGCGTAGTTGCCATGGTATCAAAATGGAGGTATAACATAGTAATCTAAATGAAGGCCACACTTACCAGATGGGGACATGTACTCCGCATTTGCCCTGCAAACCACCCGGATTGGCAGATTGCACATTTGCAGAAAGGCCTGGAAATAAAGAGTTGCATTTAAAAAGCATGAATACACCAGTGACAAACAAATGTGTTCTCGATACATTTGACTCTGGTTTAGTTAGCTCATAGCACATGCTTACAAAGTACAGCTCCTTGCATACTGCTTTTAGGAAGAAAGAAGGGTAAGTAAAAGAAAAACAAGGGTTTTTTAACTTCCCCAGACAATAGTTTATCATCCAGTCATTGACTGGCATCTTTCTAATGAAGTTTCATCTATTTTTACTGTTTTTTCAGACATGCAAAGAAGCAGTATCTGGCAGACACCACTAGTGCTGTGCTTGTACAAAAATAAGTAACACTTTGCTCCTCCTGAAAATCACAGTACTTATTTTTTCTGGCAAAAGCCGCCTAGCCCAGTTCATGTTTTGTAACACTGCAAACACACATAGCACCTTCCCACATTATATTTACAATACCTGCCAGAAGTTTTGTTCTACAATACTGTCAGAGCACTAGTCTGCTTTGGGAGGAAGTCTTTATTATCTTTAACTTTTATGAATCACGGATACAATGAGTGATCACTTTACTGCTTCTTTCTATCTGTAACCTTAGATTCAAAACCTTCTCAGTAGGATTCTGATTTTGTCAGCACCTGCCATCACTACAAAATCTCGAGTATGTTTCTGTTGAAATACCAAAATATAATGAAAGATTATTGCAATTTGGACAACATGGCAAATAAGGAACCTCTTAATCTCTAAAGTCTCTCACAACTCAGCTAAGTCCTATAATTCATTTTGTCTTTGCAATTAATTATACAGGTCACAATTCCAGATTCCAAAATTATACCTATTCATCCCCAGTATTTGAGGTGAAAAAAGCCTACACCAAGAAGAAAGCTTACCACCGTGAAGAAAAATGCTGCTGTAACACAGCACTTTCTACATGAGCTTCCTCCTAGCTCTTCAGATTGCAGGATCTGGCAGTAAACTGCACTCTCACAGCTTTAGATGCTCAGACCACAATCACAGACATCAAAGTAACCTAAACCTTAACTTCGAGATTGCTCACTTCTGCACTGAGACCATAAGGCATGAACTAACACTGATACCAGCTCTCTTCCTAACTTTGTGGCTTCCAGAGTATCCACCAAACAAACAAAAAACAAACAAACAAAAAAAAAGAACCCCAAACACCCCTCTCCTATCTCCTGTGCTCTTCCAGTCCTTTATTCCCAAACCCTAACTCAGTCCAGGGAAACAAAGCCAAAAGCTTTGGTCCTTTTCCAACCAAATCCAAGAACTGCACAGTCCATGACAATATTTGGCTCTTGCAGATTTAGATGACTCAAATCCAAATACCAATTTTAAGCAAGGAATTATGGTGACAAGCTGCTACACAAGACATTGATTATCGCTGCACTGTTGAGCAATAAACTGGTCTCTAGAGTGCTTCATCCCAGCTAGAACCTCTGGATACTGCTTAAGGGTGCAGAAGAAAATATGAGGTACTGGCAACATTAGACACCACCCCACCTCCTCAATCTGTATGCCGATCGGGTCCACAAAAATCTGAGGCTCTTGCTATCTTAGGATGCCAACTTCCATGCAAAACAGTAAGAATATAAAAAGGACTTTACTGAAAAGGAATGTGAAGCATTGTTCTGTCTCAGTCCCAGATCTCTGTTTTTGCCAACTGGCTCTGCAGGACCTAGCAATGTCCAGGCTGCTCCAGCTACTGTACACCGTGTACTTCTGCCCAAACTGTGTCTTCATATACAATTTATTTGGAATTAATTCAGAGACAAGAATGCAGAGACTTTGGTTTAGATTAAATACATATTCCTATGCCATTGCTGGACACAATCTAACTCACCAAAAGCATACACTCTAACTCAACTGGTACACAGACTTCTTCCTTCTGAAAGCTCTACCAGTAGCTAACAACATCATCTCAATAGTGCTGAGCTGCAGTGGAACTGATGGCATCAAACAGCAGCTCCAAAGAATTCCATCTTTTAGTGAGAAGAATGGAGTGAACTTCTACCACGCTACTTAATCCTTAGCTGTTGAATTTAATCTCAAAAATATGTGAAGTTTCATTTGGTCTAGGCTTACCAAATGAATTTATTTCACCATAAGGAACTCAATTAACTGCAATTCTGCATTAAGATGGTGAATTTTGTAACTGCCATGTACTATTCACACAGTAAGTTCAGAAGAAAAAAGTATGAACTTCACTGAAGTTAGAGCAACACATGAGTAACTGAGAAGCTTGTAAGTGCAGAGACACATTAAGCAAAAGGAGGTGAACCAGAGAACTATTTTTACTTTTTCAAATCAATATGTCAAAAACAAGACAGGACACTTAGGTTACATGAGTTGCTTTGACAACTTATTGCCTCCTGTGCTTCCTATCATACACTGTCTCCTACATGGTACTGTGCTTCTACCAAAACCAGTTTGTGACTGTGAAGAACAGCATAAAGTCTAAACTATAAATAAAGTCTTCTCAGCGTAAAGAGTTCAGCCAAGTTTCCATCAAAAATCTGAAGCTGACCCTTCTCTCTCCTCCTCAATAAACACCCACAAACCAAGGGATATCAACCTTTATTACAGTTGGCAGGGAAATTCTGCCTCAGTCTTTGGCTGAGTGCAAAGGGGATCAAGATTACATTGCCATTTGGCATCTTGGAAATGCAGACACAGGGTCCACGTGCCTTTTTTGCACCTCATACAGAAAAAAGGAGAGGAGGTTGACCTAGAATTGAGCTCTAACATGGAAACAAATATTAACTAAATAAAAGAGTTTGCTACTCTGCATAATAAAGTGCAGATTCTGGTAAGCTTAGAAATAAGTCACCCTACCATCACAGTGAGGTTAATTTTTTTTTTTTTTCTAATTTTCAAAAAGATCCTAAAGTAAACACCAAACTGAAAACCTGAGAAAACTTCCCTGGAATAGTCATCTCCAGTTCTGATGAACATTTCATAGATGGGAGACCAGGACTGAGCTTGAAAAACTGAAGAGTGATTCAAGATTAACATTGGGCAAAACCATCCAGTTCTGTGTTCACCCCAGCAGTCCTCCTGTGAGATTCAGAAACACTGACCACCTGAGCTGCCTCTCCAGCAGCCTTACACGGCCTGTTCCACCAAACCCCTTCAGCATCCATGTGCCAACATCTACTCCACTTCAGTCTTAATCTGTATTTAGGATCAAATTTAAATTGAGTGGTGAAATAGTAATGAAACACACAACAACAGTCAAATAGTTGAAGACAAAATCACTTAATGCCATACAATAACTCTAGAAATATATTTTACAAAAATGTTAATCTTTATGTCTTTAAACATATAGAAGCCCCAGAAATTAAAAGACCGTTATGTTGACCTGTAATTTGTATCCATTCTATCACTGATGTAACTGACAGACTTTGGAAATTATTAGTATTAACAACACAGGTGTTTTTGTCTTTTCAAGCACAGTGAATGCATTTCATATTTATGGAAATTATGGTTTCTTTTAGAAAAAGAGATGGACAAGGATCATGACCAACACATTTTTATAAATACTCCCTGCCAGAAAATCTCAAGGATTTTTTTCTGGTGCATTCAACTAGGTAAGTAAGATTTTAGACAATAACTGATGTTAGACAGTAAGTGGTGTGAACTATTACCAAAATAGTTGGCACAGATCAAAGAAATCCTACAGAGAGATTGTAGGACAAACCAGCAATTTTTGTGAGTCTTTATCTCATTAAACACTTTAGCCCAGTGATCCAGGGAGGATTTGTTCCTGGTTTGACCACTCATGTAGAAGAATGTCAAGAACCAGCACATTTGGTCTGCAGATGGTATCAGACCACCACAGCTTCCAGCTCTGATACAAGATGCAGTGAACACTGATCATTCCAGTTCAGAGCATCTCATTTCCCTTTGGGTACCTCACATATATCATTGGAGCTGGCAAGTAAACCCTTACTTTTGAGAGAAACCATCAGCAAATGGGAGTGAGCTCAGCTCCTCTGAGTGCTTTTGGAGTGAAGGGTGAGAGATTCAAGGCTGAAACCACTCCAGTGGAGTTCTGCTGAGATTTATGAGTATATCAGCACCCCTTCAAAGACACGGCATCAAAAGCTGAGCAATCTGAAAGATCAAGGGCCCAGGCTTATACTATTACATCAGAGATTATTGTTAACAGCATAAATTTGGCTGATCAATTTAAAAAGGGACAGACACGTAAGATAGTTAATCAAGCCCTTGTGAAAATTCACCTAAAAATGGTAAACAAGACAGTAACAGCTAAACTAGAAACAAGACACTGAACTGAGCACTGCCTGTCATACCTTGCAAATGCTTGTAATTCCAAAGAATAGCATTAAATTTCCTGCTCTTTTCTCCTCTGGAAAAAAAAAGTACTAACACAGAATGAACAGGGTGACTACTGTAGGCCACAGCCTGGCTCTCCTCCAGTGCCTAGGTTTCTCATGCTGCAGTTGCAGTTCTTCAGATTTAGAGGGGGGTGAGGGTGTGAAATTAGCTGTCATGTCAGTAGTAAAACTGGTACATGCTACTTCATCTGAAGTTTTCCAGTGTAAAGATGTTCACTAGAAATGTTTATTGATACTTTGAACTCTTTCAAACAAACTCTAGGTTGAAAAGGATAAAAGATTATTTTATTCTTAACACCTATCCAAAGAGTTAACTATTTGGATCAATTCATAAAGAGGAGGGATTAACATTAGTATTTCCCCTTGCCCATGTTACAGAAGACGAAAAGACAACTACCCAATAGACTTTACAAAACAAATAAAGGAAGCTTCACTCAAGCATTAATATACAGAATTCACTGAAAGACATCAAACCAAAATGCTCAGGCTTTTAAAACGAATGAGTAATTTCATGGCTCATACTAGTTAATGCAGCATAACACAAGGATAATGAAATCTCAGATTGAGAAGAACTGAGTTTATTCCTCTGCCATCAGCAGGAGTGCCTCCTTTACCCATATGTTCCACTGATTATCTACATT